GAAGGAGAGTCGAGAAGTAGTCAAAAAAGCAAGTCGAAGAAGCCAGTCGCAGAAATCGTAATAAAGTTGAAAGTTGTCAAAAGTAGTCGCGAATTTCTGTCGGTCATTGGAAATCTGTATTAACATTCATTTACCTGTTCGGCTATATACTTAATCGTATTCATATTAAATAAACCTATAATCTTATAATAAATCTTACATGTATAATCTTTATATGCCAGCGCATATTATAGTGGTACTATTATACGGCCACACGCACCCATACGCGCACCAAGCTCAAAAGACGGTTTTCGCATTTTATAGAAAAGCTGATATCTCGGTACCTATAAGTGTCAGAAAGGATTAAGCATGTAGGTTTTCATGATGCTCCCAATGCGAATTGTTTTTTTTCCGATCAAGCCACGTCCACTCTTAGGCCCACAAAAACCCGAAAAACCAAAAATGCGATCAATAGCGAAAACGATTAAGCCATGTCCGTCTGTCTGTCCTTCTGTCCGTATGAACGCCGAGATCTCGGGAAATATTAGAGATACAATGTTCAGATAAGGCATAAAGAATCTTGAAGTCCCTACGCTACGCAAGTTTATTACAGCATCCTGCCACGCACACTCTAACGCCCACAAATCGCGAAAAACTAAAATCGCTGACTTCACTTCTCTTTCAAAGCGAACGGTTTTTTTTTGGCTTTTGCGTCTTCTTGAGCGATTTAATTATTGAATTAATCACCTCGTTTTTGCTACTTTTTTGCAAACGTTTATCTACTTAAAAAAAACGTCTTTTAGATTCCGCGTCGTGCAGTGCATTTATTGTTATCTGTTTGCATAAAGCATTTATTGCAAACAAATATCAACAACTGTGGTCTGTATTCTAACATATTTTTTTACTTTTCTTTGTGCTATTAGTAACGGAACTTTCACCGCACTCCAAGGCACTCCAGTGTAGGGTTTAAGTCAGTCACCATTCCGGATGCTTTGGGTCGTTCCGACTCTGGCTTACACTACCGTTGTGGCAGATGTCGTGAGGCCCAGAAGGAAATTAGATCTTTTATGCGGCAGACTAAAAATGGGTTCGGTCAGGTAGTGGTTGCTTTTCGAAAAGCTAACGACCTGTTTTCTGCGCTGGACACTCAGTTCAACAATTTACAATTGTTGAATGAGTCTCCTAAGCGCAAAAAAACGTCCCGTTTGCCGCCGGCGGTTACCGCCAGTAATGCAAATAACTCCCTACTCCCTCCGTCTGATGTTCAACAGTCACCTTCATTGTCACCGCTGCCGTCCACCACTCCAATCGTTACGACTCCGGTAACAGCCCATATAAATGTTGCTAAGGTGCGTAGGCATTTGTCCGATGAGCAGTCCGAGGTAGTCGCATTGGACCCTCCCGTGCCAAATGTTCTACAAGCCCAAAAAAATTTACCCGTGACTCACCACAGGAACTTAGGGTCCGGATTACCGGCACCCACTGGTAGCGTGGGTAAACCACCCGCCCCGCCAAAGCCCTTGATTGGTATTCCTCTAGAGAAACACATTTTTGTTTCCCGGCTTTCCCCTGATACGTCCGAATCGGACATCTTAGCTTACATTCAAGCAAAACTTAAAGTCGATATTTGGGTGGAAAATATCACTAATATAAATATTCCTACGCAAGGAACGTGGCATCTTTCAAGATCCGTGTTCCTCAGATGGCTTTTGACGATATCTGTTCGACCAATTTCTGGCCGCAACATATTTTCGTTCAAGAACATCAGCTTAAAAATAAAAAAAGAAAAATTCGCCCTTTAGGAAAGCTTCCACAAGTGAACGCTCCTGCCAACCTAAAAAACTAACATCATCCATAATTCTTTCGTACCAGAACACAAGAGGCTTTCGCTCTAAACTTTCTAATTTGTTCTCGGTAAGCTTCTCGTTTGCATCCCAGGTCATTGTGTTTACCGAAACCTGGCTAACTGCAGAAATCCTTAATTCTAAAGTTTTCCTCAGTAGGTACACAATATATAGGCTTGACCGATCCCTCGGAAATGGTAGTGGAGTAATAACTTCAGTGGACTCTAATCTCGTTTCCGAGGTGATAAATCTTCAAACTGGAGACTTAGAATTTATCAGAGTTAAAATTTCATTGTCTAGGTTAAATTTATATATCACTTGCTCTTATATTCCGCCTAAGTCCGATTCCTTGACATATGAGCGGCACCTAGCAGCCATTCAGTCTGTCTTCTTAATGTTATCGGACATGGATCAGCTGGTGGTGTTGGGTGATTTCAACCTACCCCATGTGGCTTGGTCCATGAACGATAACACCTTAGCTTTAACACCTACGTCGCATCACGACTTTACTGCTGGCATGTTAGACATGTCACTGGCTCAAATTAATCATATAGGGAATTCTTTAGGTGGTTTGCTCGATCTGTGCTTTCTCTCTGATACGGACGCCGTATCCATTTACAGAGCTCCACCTCCCACACTCCCTGAAGATCCTTATCATTCAACATTAGATTTAGGATCGATACGGTGCTAGGCACTAAGCCTAAGAACAATTACGCTGATAAGAAAATTCGATGTTTTCGTAAAGACTACTTTAAAAAAATTAATAACTTTATTTCAGAATTTGACTGGTCCGATTTGTACGCATGCACCGATATGTCGACTGCTCTAGATATATTTTATAGTACATTAAACCTTATTTTTGATCGCTTTGTTCCGTTGCGGTATCCGGCTATGGCGGATAAACCTCTTGGTATACAAGGCACCTTTCTAATCTAAAAATATCAAATTAAGATTATTTAAAAAATACTTAAGAACTAATAGCAATGACTGTTTCGTGCATTATATGGTGTCTCGGTCTAACTTTACCGTGCATAACACTCAGTGTTATCAGAACTATTTAGCTCGATGTAAGAACCATTTTGCTCTGGATCCGAAACAGTTCTATAGTTTTGTTAACACTAAGCGTAAATCTAAAACCTTTCCGTTTTTGCTATCGTTTGGAAAATCTACTGCAAGCACGGATTAGGAATTTGCCGATCTTTTTGCACAGTTTTTTCAAACTACCTATTCACCTTTGTTAATAAACGCGCAGACTTACGCTTACGATATCCCCCAGTCTAACTTTATTTCCCGACCCACCTTGTCGGAATGTGGGGTTATAAAGGATCTTCAGAATGTGAAGCCAGTCTTTTCGCCAGGTCCAGACGGGGTACCGGGCTGTGTGCTTTGGTACTGCTCTGCTACCCTGGCCAAACCCCTATTAAAATTATTTAACCTTTCCATGGAAACGTCCACATTTCCCGCTATCTGGAAAGAGTCCCTTATCCAGTGTAGATCTGTCATATGACTTCAGTAAAGCATTTGACTCCGTGAATCACAGCCTTCTTTTAGAAAAACTCGATCTTATCGGTTTTCCCACTGATCTCCTGGGTTGGATTAGCAGTTACCTCACAGGTAGAACGCAACGAGTTCTTTTTAAAAATTCAGTGTCTGCTTTAGTCTATGCTTCCTCCGGGGTCCCTCAGGGGAGCCACCTTGGTCCGTTACTTTTTACCTTATTCATTAACGACCTTTCTTTAGTTGTTAATGACTCCCTAGTACTTATGTATGCAGATGATGTCAAACTCAGTCTGCAATATACTGATGCCTCCTACCAGGTGAAACTGCAATCTGACCTTAATAATTTTCAAAACTGGTGTTCTGCAAACTTATTTAATCTTAATGGCTCTAAGTGCAAAGCAATGACCTTCTGTCGCCTAAGACCTAAAGTTGCCACTTATAATTTGCATGGTGTAGCTCTGGAAAGAATTAATGCAGTTGAAGATCTTGGCATCCTACTCGATGCAAAACTTAAGTTTTCCGACCATATTTCCTCTATGGTTAATAAAGCTAGAGGAGTTCTTGGTTTCATTAAAAGGTGGTCGAAGGAATTTAACGACCCCTATGTTACCAAAACACTTTTTATTTCTTTAGTTCGTCCTATTCTGGAATATGGATCATGTATCTGGGACCCCCAGTATGGGGTTCACCAATGCCTTATTGAATCCATCCAAAAGAATTTTTTAATATTTGCTCTCCGAGGTCTCAACTGGGATGCAAATATACACCTTCCCTCTTATAAAAGTAGACTCTTACTAATCAATTTGCCATCCCTCGCTAATCGTAGGACGATGCTTGGGGTAGTCTTTATTCATAATCTTCTTAAGGGTGAAATTGATAGCCAGGCCCTTCTTGGCCGCTTGAATATCCATGTACCCCTTAAGATTACTAGAAACTATATTCCTCTATCCTTAGAGCATTGTAGTTCGAACTTTGCCCAACATGAACCATTTCGGGTACTATGTTCAAACTACAATGATCTTTATAAAAGTACTTCTAACTCTTCTCCTAACACTTTGAATGTTTCGATAATAATCCATTTAGCACAAAACTAACTTTCCTCGTATCTTTCCTAATCCACTCGGATCTATCCCCGTGTTCCGAGCCGTACGTCAGACGGCAGAGCCCCTCGGTCGGTTGGGCGGGAGGTGGGTTGCACGTCAAACAACGGGAGTCGCGCGAAAAAAAAAATCTCACGAACTATTAAAGCTAGAAAGTTGAAATTCAGTATGTATTATCTTCATATGCCAACGCATCTTATAGTGGTACTATTATCCGGCCACACGCACCCATACGCGCACCAAGCTCAAAAGGAGTGTTCGCATTTTATAGAAAAGCTGATATCTCGGTATCTATAAGAGATAGAAATTAAGCATGTTGGTTCTCATGATGCTCCCAATGCGAATTTTGTTTTTACCGATCAAGCCACGTCCACTCTAAGCCCCACAAAACCCGAAAAACCAAAAATGCGATCAATAGCGAAAACGATTAAACCATGTCCGTCTGTCTGTCCGTATGAACGCCGAGATCCTTGTGGAAAGGTTTGTCGATCTGGCGCGGGAACATCTTCCCGGTCGGCTTTTCCTGGCTTACCTTGCATATTTGGCAGCTCGGGCACCGTCGCACGTATTTAGCTACCTCTCGGAAAATTCCGGGCCAGTAGTATCTCTGGGCCTCTTGCTTTTCGCACAACCAGATGTCCAGCGGTGGGGTGGTCGTGACATTCCGTCAGCACTCTTGCGCGGTCGCGGGTAGCGCAGTCCGATGCGCCGGTAGAGTTGTCCGTTCTCCTCTCGGAAATCCGGATACTTGGCCGGCTCCTGTTGGATCCTGCGTAACATTTTCGTGATCCACTTACAGTCGCTGTCTCGTACTTGTGCCTGTTGTAATTTCACCAGAGGCTGGCGCGACAGCGCGTCCGCGACCAGGTTCTGGACTCCGCGTCAGTAGGTCACGTCGTATTGGAACGGCTGTAGCTCCAATGCCCACCGATCGATCCTGCCCGTGGGGTTGTCGATGGAGTTCAACCACTTTAGCGAGTGGTGGTCGGTGAGTACCTCGAAACGGTACCTCTCGAGGTAGCAGCCCATCTTGCGGATGGCCCACGCAATCGCAAGGCATTCCTTTTCCGTCACGGCGTAATTGCGTTCAGCGGTGTTTAGCCGGCGGCTGGCGTAAGCGATTACGCCCTCCTGTTGATCTATGGTCTGGGTGAGTACGGCCCCAACCCCATAGTCACTTGCGTCCGTCTGAAGTACGAATTTGTCCTCAAAATCCGGGCACGCAACCACTGGGGCCTCGGTGAGCAGATCCTTCAGCCGCTGGAACGCCTGCTCCTGCTTCTCCGTCCATTCCCATTTGCGGTCCTTTTTAAGGAGCGAGGTCATTGGCTCGACCACGTCCGCGAAGTTCGGCACGAAGCGGGGGTACCACGACGCTATACCTAGATATCGGCGAAGCTCCTTCACTTTCGTGGGAGGGGTCAATTCCCGGATGGCCGAGACTTTTCTAGGGTCAGTCTGTATACCGGCCTCGCTGATGACGTGGCCAAGATATTTTATGCTCCGCTGGAAAAACTGGCATTTGACCCGATTGAGCCGGAGGTAAACCTCGCGTGATTTCCGCACGTGCTCAGAGAGTGTGGACCCGATAACGATGATGTCCTCCAGGTAGGCGAAGGCGTGTGGTTCCATGTCGGGGCCGATGACGGTATCCAGTGCCCGTTGGAAGGTGGCAGGAGCAGAGTGTAGCCCGAAGTGCATCACCTTCCAGTGAAATAGCCCGCGGCTACTGGGATCTGCCAGTACCCGTTTTTCAGGTCCAACGTCGATCCGCGGCAGCGAGTAGGCGTCGGGAATCGAATTCTCATTCAACTGCCGGTAGTCTATACACATCCTGGCCTCCACGTTCTTCTTTGCCGCGATGACTATCGGCGCGCTATGGAACTCTTGGAGGGCTCTATACGACCGTCTCGGAGGTGCTCTTCGATCTGTTGGTCGTGGTTGCTGGGTCTCTGTTCCTCCTCGGCGTTGCGTTGTGTTGGACTGCTAATGCGTCGGGAGGGGGCAGTGCTCCAGCCCAGCTTGGAGCCGTGCGTGTGTCCGCGTGGGTGACATTGCTTGGGGCGTTCTCGGGACAGGGACGCGTATGTGCAGCCCTGCGATGTCTTCGTGAGGCGGCCGATGGGTGCGCCTGTGAGGCGGCTGGTGGATGCGTCCGTGAGGTGCCTTGTGGATGCGCCTGTGGGGCGGCTGGTGGATGCGACTGTGAGGCGGCTTGGGGATGCGCTCGTGGGGCGGCTGGTGGATGCGCCTGTGAGGCAACTTGCGGATGCGCCTGTGAGGCGGCTGGTGGATGCGCCTGTGCAGTGGCTTGTGGATGCGCCTGTGAGGCGGCTGGTGGATGTGTCTGTGAGGTGACCGATGGATGCTCTTGTGAGGCGGCTTGTGGATGCGTCTGTGAGACGGCTGGTGGATGCGCCTGTGCAGTGGCTTGTGGATGCGTCCGTGGGGTGGCTAGTGGATGCGACTGGGAGGCGGCTTATGGATGCGCCTGTGAGGCGGCTGGTGGACGCGCCTGTGAGGCGGCTTGTGGATGCGCCCGTGGGGCGGGTGATGGATGCGCCTATGCGGCGGCTGGTGGATGCGTCTGTGAGGCGGCTTGTGGATGCGCCAGTGGGGTGGCTGGTGGATGCGCCTGTGAGGCGGCTTGTGGATGCGTCTGTGAGGTGACCGATGGATGCGTCTGTGAGGTGGCCAATGGATGCGCCAGTGCGGCGGCCGACGCGTGTTGCAGCGGTATGCATGTGTGTTCCGCTCGTGTCGGTGTCGGCGAGCTGGTTCTCATGGGTCGAGCCGAAGTATTTGGCTGGAGATCGAGGGTCAGGCCCCAACATTGCAGTGAGGCTCCGCCGTAGCACAAGAAGTCCATGCCGAGCTGAAGGTCGTACAGCACGTCCGCCATGATTAGAGCGGAGACGCTGACCCGAGCATCGCCCAGCTGGATCGTGGTTCGCAGGGTCTGTGTGAGCTCCCGGCCGGTTCCGTCGGCTAGCTTTACTTTGGTCGCACAGCGCGGCGATTCTTTCCCCCGTCGACTTCCTTTGCCAGGCGTTCGCTTATGAAGCTAATCGAGGCTCCCGTATCCAAGGTAGCAGTGAGAGGCGGTTATACCTGCGGCCCTTGCCCATTTCCCGGCGTCTGGTTCCTGCAGCACTCAATAGTGCGTATGCCCTTGCGGCTGCAGTCCAAACAGAACATGACTCGCGTGTGTCGGCATTCCCTGGCGTAATGGCCCGCCCGGCCTGGCCTGGGCGTGGCCCTTTGGTTGGGGTTCCCCCCGGCGTCCCGGTTGGCGGCTTCGTTGGTCCCGCTCCTAGGGTGTGGCACCTGTGGTGTAGGGGCAGGGTTCGTTCTAGGTCGTGCGACTCTGCTATGGGATGGATACTCGGCGTCTGGGCTCGCCGATGGGCTCGCGTCTGCGGGCAACTTCGAAGTTGACCACCAAATGTGTGAGCTCCGTCAGCGTTTTGAAATCCTGGCGTCGGGTAAACATCTGGTATTCGGGCAGCATGTTCTCATGGACCCGTTCCAATTCCTGTTCCGATGAGAATCCGGCGCGGCGCATCTGGCGGCGGAGGTCTACCAGGCATCTGAAAGTGTGAACGGATCTCGTCGTCGAGGTGTTGGTAGTACCGGGGCGGTAGGAAGAAGTCCAAGAATTCCCGACGGACTTCGGTCCAGGTCCGTCCCTGCAGATCACTGGTTCGGAACCATTTCTCCGCCCAGCCAGTCAGGAGGACGACGATAGCGTGCGACAGATACTCACTGTCAATCCGGTCGGTATCCGCCCGTTCTTCGGTGTGTTTATGAAACTGAGCGGGTCCGAGGTACCGTCGAAGGACAGTCCCCATTTGGTCACTTTGTCAATCAACATCGAACAGATGCCGGCATCGTACTCGTGTCCTCTGATTTTCCTCGCGTCTTTGGGGACGGGGAAGTGCTGCGTGGTATGGTCAGCGTGTGGCTACTGCTTGGTCCCTTTTCGTGGGAGGGCGGTAGCGGCGATGGTGGCTTGGTGTCTCCGGAGGGGGCGTTTCCATACTTGCGTTCCATCTCCCCGAGCCGGATCAGGGTATCTTCGGAGTGTTCCGTTTGCCTGGCGAACGCGTACAGTCGGGCCCGCTGCTCGTCGACCGTATCTTGTTGTTCGAGGCCGAGCTCGAGAAGAATAGCCTCGAGTTCGTGCTTCTTCCTGTAGGAAATCCAGGAGACTCCCATGTAGTTGTTGGTGTGTGTCCTGGCTGGTGTGCAGGAGCGGCGATGCGTTGGTTTCCTTGAAGGATGTGTATCCTTGATAGTCCTGGCTAGGGTGCAGGAGCGGCGATGCGTTGGTTTTCCTTGAAGGATGTGTATCGATTTTGTGTCGATGGCAACTTATATATCTCCGGTTCTGCCGGCGTCGGGCATCCTCCTCGGTAAGAAACCAGTTGTGCGAAAGGGATAGGGGAACTAGATATCTGATGGCGTGGATGCCGGCTGCGGCGTCGACGTGGCTTAGGTTCTGAGGTTCTGTCTCTCCCCTTTTGTTCTGTATTTTTTTTCCTCGCGTTCACGTGCTCGTGTGCGCGTGCGTATTTTGACTCTACGTGTGACTTTACTTGCTTGCCGTTATCTCCACGTGGCTACGCTTCCCTCTATCTCTCTCTTTCTTGCTCTGCTTCGCCCCGCTGCAAAATATGCGTACTCCCCTAGCCTTTCGTCCCCAACCTCGAATGTTGACCTAAATTTCCCTAATGGTTCCTTATGCCATGAAGGGTGGAATTATCCTGCCTAATCCTGCCTAGTCCCTGTTCGGACTTCAGTCAGCCCAGGGTCCTCTACATAAATATTTATATATACTGAGACAGTGAGGTGTGAGGTGGGTTTTCGAGGGCGAGTTAGGGTTTTTTCCGCGGGCGGCCGATCCCGTCACCCGGGAATCGGTTGTCCGGCCCCGTCAGCAATGTGCCGGTGCCCCAACCTGCGAGGAGGGAGGGACGGCTTTCGCTGTCTTCGTGCAAGCTGTCGTCGTACTCTTCTCTCTAGTCTTACTGCGCCGGCGTCACGTGATGTGATCGTGCGCGTTGGTTGGCTCTGCCGGTGTAATGTTGGCTCTGCCGGGGTTATGTTGGCTCTGCCGGTGTTATGTTGGCTCTGTCGGTGTTATGTTGGCTCTGCCGGTGTAACAATGGCTCTGCAGGTGTAATGTTGGCTCTGCCGGTGTAATGTTGGCTCTGCCGGTTGTGATCGCGCTGTGAGCGCGATATGCCCAAGGCGTGGTGATGTTGCGGACGTGGTGTTGCGGGGCGATGTTGCGGACGTGATGTTGACTGGCGTGATGTTGCGGGAGTGATGTTGACTAGCGTAATGTTGCGGGTGCGATGTTGACTGGCGGTGAAGCCTAAGCTATGTATGTAGAAGTGCCCTTCGTGGGGCTTAACTAACTTAAGTCTAATTGTCCTTCGTGTGTCTAAACTAACTTAAATATGGGTGCCCTTCGTGGGTCTTAGCTATTCCTTAAATTAACCTAAATTCTAGCTTACGGACTACTCTTAACTAAATATCTCTATATCTAGGGGCGGCCGGGCCGCGTGAGGGTCACTTCACAGCACAAAAATTTACGGTCGTCCAACTCAAACAGTGGTTGGTTGCGCTAAATTTGCCGAACTCGCGGCACGATTAAATAAGGTGCAAACGTTAGTTCGTGGAACTCCCCCGGAGTCCCCACTCCTGGTGAACGCCGAAAACGAGAACTTTTCTGATCGGTCACAGGAGTTCGATCTTGAAAATTACTTGGGGGA